CAAATAACTCCAGATGTTCCCTTATGAGACGTGAGCCCTATTGATAATATATTACATAAGAGGTTTCAAGTGATCAGTGGTAGATTATAGATCAACATTAAGGTGAATCAACAATAGATGGATGAATGTTCCAAAGTGTGAGATGGGATTAGGCTGTCATTCTTAAGATGAATAGTAATGAGGAAGCATTAAGGGACTTAAATTTATACATATTGGATAAGCAGCGAGAGAGAAACCTGGAGTTGGGTAGCAGACCTAGGCCATAATAAGTCAAAGTAAGTGTTTTGGTATAGTATAAGCTACCTAGATATAGTAAAGCCATAAACATAGCTAACCGAGGCTATGAAACAAGATATAGCAATAGTCGTAAGTTCAACAATGTATTGAGCGAAAAACTTCAGTACACCTATAGATTCCCAGAGGGACAGCTTGTCATAGTTCTATAAATGTTCACAAAGTGAGGCCTAAAGATTGGCTAAAATATGAAGGAAAAAGGAGAGAAGAGTCACATAGGCACACATATAAGGACAGAGTCATACAGGCTGCATGACATAAGACAGCAACATTTACGAGATTGGGAGAATTCCGACCACAAGTCGTGGTGTGAGAAAGAGGCCTAAAGGGAGGAATGCCCTAACCTTTGGAGTTATTCAAAGAACAGTTGCCTAGATGGAAAGAGCAGCAGTAAAGTATTCGTAAGAGCTATAGGTTATGAGACTCATAAGCACATCAGTCAACATTCGAGGATGAATGTTCCAAAGTGGGGAATGATGTTACACCCCATATCTTCGTACGAAAGAGTATTCGTAAGTCAATTGATGTAAGATCATAAATGAGATCATCTTTGAGAGTACATAAAGTAAGTTAATCATGTTAACTTGGAGATTAAAGATCATGGATAACTAGTACCAAGATGGTTGAAAGGCTAAGAAGCTAAACAAATTGAAGAAAATAAGTTTCGTCGAATGCCGACAAGTTGGGAATGTTATAACGTGTACTTTTGTCATGAGACTAGGGTGCATAACAAGATAAGGAGGTTATGTTATGAGTTATTTTAGTCGTATGATAGTCGTGTGTTATGTTTTTAAGTCAAGCAACTTGTGGAACAAACGTTGGCAAAGGTCATCACAAGTTACATTCATAAATGTGCTGAAAATCAGGTCAAATGTAGATGCGATTGTCTTCCAATATACTTGGAATTAGCTCTACCTACCAAATTGAAGATCTATGAGTCCATTTTCTAACTCATTAAACCGTTTGTCAATAATCGGAGTAGAGAGATATGTGTATTTATGCGGGACTGCACAGACTGCTAGGTGACAAGTAGGTGTGTCACCTACTTGCTTAAATGAGAGTCCAAAAAGGGGCTATTTTGGGTCACCCAAAGAGCCCATTTAAGAGCTAATATATTGCAATATAACACTCAATTATATAACATAATAACCAAACCTAAACCCCTGCAAACGTCCTCCTAAAATTGCCCACAAATCCTAATTGGTTTTCTCTCCTTTTCAAGTTCTAGTTGGAGGTAAAACCTACAGTTTGAAGAACCAAGATAGGAGACGAGTTATTCAACAAATAAGGTATGTTTACTGCTCTCTTTCATTCATTTTTTCTGTTGGAGATGTATGTAAAGTCGTTCTTTAATGTAAGAACTCACGGTACGGTGACTGAAAGCTGTGAGTTCGAGTTATTCACTTGTAGCAGACTGTTTTGTTGACTGTTTGTATTGCTTTTGGATTGCGTATTTTACTACTATTTTTTTGGAGTTTTGGAGGAGGAAGGGTTTGAAGAAACACCACATAAATGCAGGGTGGAGGGCTGGTTGTTCGTCGTAACATACTCGGGCTGTTTGACACTACTTTGGTGGTCGTTTTGTGTATGAAGAGATTGGGATGTGTTGGGCTGTTTTGTAGTATTTTGTGGTGCATATAAGGTTGGAAAATAATGTAAATATGTTGATATTATTGTGTTCTTGTGCTGTTGGTGTTATCTTGATTTTGGAGGAAGTAAGGATTATAGGGGAGATGCTGCCCGTTTTTATACAAAATAAGCTTGTCGTTAGTTGTGCGATAGTTGTACCTTTCGTAACTTAATGATAGCATTATTATCGTTATTGTAGATTATGGTGTGAAGAGGCGAGTTCAACTTGGTGATTGGAAAGATTGTGATAAGGTATATTAAGGCTAAACCTTTCCTTCATTTTGGCATGATCCAGTAACTACATGTGTTTGATAACGAGACATAAAGAGAAGTTCATATTCCTGAATTTATGTACGTTGTCCTAGTCTCATAAGTTACAGCATTCTCCCTTATCGGGACTTCATATTCAGTTTAGTTTTGTCTTTTTTTAGCCAAGAGACTAGAGAGTCTACGTATATACAATATATTTTCATCACCATCGAGCTATAATCGATGGGCAGACCCCTATTGGGCAACCTCTAATCAGATGGTAAATTATATACCGAGCCTACTGTGGCCGAGCGCCTATGAGCGAGCCCAGAATGGCCGAGATACAGATCCTAGTACGGCCGAGCGCCTATGAGCGAGCCTACTACGGCAGAGCAGTTACACATACCGAGTCTTATAAGGCCGGGAAACTATTTTACTTACTATATTGAGAGAGTTGAGTCAGTATCAGCAGGTAAGCATATCTTCAGATTATCTTTGACTCCTAGTTACTTTCAGTTATTATATTATCAGTTCAGTTTCAGCTTTCAATTGTTTTGTTGCCTTACATACTCGGTACATTATTTCGTACTGACGTCCCTTTTGCCGGGGACGCTGCATTTCATGCTTGCAGGTCCTGATTGACAGTTGGACGTACCCTCCTAGCAGACAGAGTCAAACATCAGCTTTGTTGGTAAGCTCCACTTCCTCGGACTTACCAGGTCTAGACCTTAGAGTCCATTTTATATATATACAGGTTTGATGAGTAGGTCGAGGCCCTGTCCAGACCATGGTACGATTCAGTTATCTCTAGAGGCTTGTAGATGAGTCATGCATATTTTGTATAGCAGTAGATGTTCATGGCGGCTTCGTCCGCCTGCACAATTATATATATCAGCTTTTGGGTATGTGTATCCCTCATATGAGAGAGACGTTATTTTCAGATGATTCAGAATATGGCCTCATCGACCTAAGTTGAGGGTTACCCCTCCAGAGTTCACAGTTACAGAGTGGTACGCTCGGGCCGAGTATGGCACCGGGTGCAGGCTACACCTCTTCAGATTTGGGGCGTGACAGATTGTTGTCCTAACTTGGCCGTCCGTTTGAAATGGTCTTCTGTTGGTTTCTCAGGTTCTTTATTTTTCATCTTTGGTGTGGTAAATATGAACTGCCCTTCAATTTTTCATACCTTTTTAAGTTCTTGGTTGGCTAAATACGATGCAACCGTAGTCATAAAGAACCGCATCAAGTACAAAGAGAAGATGTGCATCTCTGATGAACCTGAGAACTAAAATTGCTTAGCTTTGCCTTTTTAGAAGTAGCTTATTGGAAATTTGGAATAGAATCAGTAAATTGGTTCCTTGGTAACTATTGCTAATTTTCTACTATTGATTCATCTTCTTCTTTTTTCTAAAAAAACAAACTTTGTCAGGCAGTTAGTGTTTGTCTGTTAGTTTCTGAAGCACTACAACTTTTATGCTCTTACATCATTGCTAACGTAAAAGACTTCCATAGAGCCAATTTCATTTGATGACTCCTTTTCCTAACAATTTCTTGGATTCTGGTAGGACTGTTTATTCATATAAATGACCAGTTTTAATTTCTTTAGGAATAATAGCAATATGTGGAGTTTCTTTTGGGGAATTCGAGCGTTATTTGCGTTAATATGTGATGTTTGGATATTTTAGTTTGATTATCATGTGAGATTGGTGTTAAGGGAATCATGCTAGAGTATATATAAGGAAATAAAGTGCTGAAACTGATTTAATAAATAATCAGTTTTTGAATACAAATGCTGAAATTGATAATAAGATGCTGCATAATTTGATAAAAAAGTGCTGATAAGCTATTTTTCTGTTAAAATAACTTAAATAACCTTTTAACTGTTTATACTTATAAGGAGTAATTTCTTCAAAATTTTAGATTCCAGATCAATTCAAATACAAAATATTCTATTTGTCATTTTATTTTAAATACAATTATGCTTAGATAAGATAATTTTTATGATAAATATAATTTATTTTATGATAAGTATTTAATCATAAGTTATAACAATTAATAAAATTGACAAAAGTTTCTCAGTAAAAAACAAAACCTAAATAGGAGAAAATATTTAAGACAAACAAACACTGTCTTCATCACCAAAACACTTAAAAAGCAATACACCAAAAATTTGATATGTCCTTATTTATTACATACAGTTCAAAGATTAATACACAATCACATAGATACAAATATGCAAAGTAGAGAATTTGCTTATATTAAATAGTCAATGAGAATTCAACACTTGAGAGGCGGGGGGTTAGGTTGAAACAATAGTTGAGGCAGTGAGTATTGATGTAAGAGTTTTGTTCTAAAAAAGAATATTTTAAGAATAAAATAGTAAAAATTTTGGTTAAACTTAAAGTGCTTATAAGCTAAAAATTCATAAGTAGGGGGTGACGAGCTTATGATTTTTGGCTTATTTTTGACTTATAAGCACGTGGCTTATAAGCACTTTTAACTTTATCAAACGTATAAATAAGCCGAAAAGTGCTTATAAGCTAATTTGAGCACCTTATAAGCTTAGCCAAACACCCTCTAGATCCAAACCACTGCTTCTTCAGTTCATATAATATTTTTCCCCCTTGAATCCAGAGCATTTTGTCGACAAAATTACTAAATTGGTCACTAACTGAAACAAACAAACAATTTTCCCCTTATATTTTCTGTTCCTTTACCTTCCTTTTTGTTCAAAACTGTAGGAAGTAGTAACTTCTTTTCTTAATTGAACATAGTTAACAATGGAGATGAATACTCAACTGAACAACAAGGGCCAAGAGATCACAAGATCTAAAATTATTACATTTTGAATTATAATCTCTTGATTGCAATGGATATTAACAAAAATCGCTCCCATTTCATTTACACACTCTACTCGAATATTGTATATCTTCTTTGAGTATACACTAGAACATAGATATCTCTGGAGTGTAACCAAAAAAGGGTCAAATGGGCTTGTGACTAAAGCCTTTGCCTATTTTTAACAAGATTACTAATATTTCATCGATGTAATAGGAACATCACAAAAAGAATTTCTTAAGAAATGGCATATGATTCCTTAAGCATTGATAAATCAGGCACATCAGAAAAATTTCTAAGACACAGTACTTCATTCACACTAGGACACCTTTTTCTCCCATGATGCCCTACAGCACAATGGCCTGAAATATGCATGGATCTGTGTATATTGTTCCAATCGCGGAACTGAATGTGAAGCTTATGTTCATTATATATTGGATCCCTTGAGTTTCCTATGGGTACTTCCTGCTTTTAGCAGGTTGAGGACGTGTTTAGTAGGGAATGTATCCGAACTACTGCAAGAATGACTAATTTCAAATGAGTAAGTGTGACTTAGATGCTGTCAGCCATGTCTATGTTATCTCAATCACGCTATGGCATGCTGTTAAGTGAATTGTTATCAATAATGGAGAAAAAAGATGTCTGATCATACATCTGGATCTGGAGATGAAGCTTTGTTTCTTGCTTTATCTACCCAAGCAGAGTCTCGTCCTGCACAACATACTAGAAGTGTTGCATTAACACCTTAAATCTCCATGCACCCAGTAGACATACCTGCAATACAAGTATAGCAAAAAGCAACTAAATTACTAGCCATCTCAGAAGATGGCACCAAAAAGATTAGGTCAGGTTATACACAAGATATGTCTGCATGAATCAATGTCATGAGTTAATAAATAACCCTATTCCCCAAGATAAGTGCCTATTACTATGCATTTGGGAAAGCCTTTAGAGTGCAGAAGTTATCCATCAAAGTGGACTGCAGCGATATCTCGTACACACCTCGCCATTCTTATTTTATCACTAGAAAGAAAATCAGAAATCAGTCTCCAGCTATATCCATGTACACGTGGAAGCCATTACTCAAGGATAAATAGGAAAGAAATTGCTGGAGCTAGAAAAGCTTTGCTGTATGAAGAAATATGCGTATTCAGTAAGAACCAGGGTCTAAAAAGACAAGCTACAGAAAAAGTAAAACATCTATCAAAATTCCAAAGTCATTAGATAAAAAGGAAGCTGACACCCCAACTCGTATAACTTGATAAAATCCATATCATCTATGGTTAAATGTTATATAAAACTTTCAAACAATCCAATGAATAAATAAGATCTTACTTACAGTTATAGCCAATGGAAACAAATAATTTAACACTCTTTATGAATTCTTGAAAAGATACCCCATTACATCTTTCTTCAGTGTGTCGCTTTCATTAATTTCTTTCAAGAATTCAAAATAATTAGAATGCCAACACCCAGGCCACAGAATAAAACCTTTCTCTCCATCTCCACATTCTTCCAATTCCTATACCAAGTTAAAGGTCAATCATAAAGGATGCAAATTTATTAGCAATTTAAGTTCCCCCGCCCCCTCCGCGGTAGTCATTATGACCGAAAAATTAAAAGAAAGAAAGAAAACAAACCCTGTAAAAAATATTCAACACCAGCATTATATTTCTTACTACAAGCCAAATAGTGTCACAACAGATAACAAATCTGTAAACAACACTCAAAACCAGCAGGTTGTAGTCTAATCATATTTGCAGCATTATATTTCTTACTACAGGGCCATTAGTGTCATAACAGATAACATAGGATGTAACAGAATGAACATAGCAGTAGCCAGTAGGATTCAACAAGTATAAGATTTATACTATCTTGAAAGATAAAACTACAAAGGTGACTTTCAGAAGTCTTAAAGGTAGATTCCTTCCCCTCAGGGACAACATTCAAGGACTTCAATATTAATAGAACTAATGCACTAACATTGAAGGACTTCAATAGAAAGATGGCACCTATGTTGCTCGGATCCTCCGATAAGTTCGCTGGGTGCATGTTGGATCCTCCAAAAGTAGTATTTTTGGAGGATCCGACACGGGTGCGGCAGCATTTTAGAGAGTCCACGCAACATAGGATGGCACTAACATTCAACAATGTTAAGTTGCAACCGGCAGTTCCTTTTCCAAAAGAAAATATTTTCATGCAAACTGCAATCTAACATTCAACAAAGTTGAGTTGCAATAGATGGTTCCGTTACAAAAAAAAACTTATATTCACACAAAGAACGTTAAAATGGGACTAACATAGTAAAAGCAAACAAAACTTCCATGTCATCTAATCTTCACGAGGAGAAAGGGTAAAAAATGGTTGAAAGATTGCAATTGCTGAAAAGAAAATAAGTTGACGTGTCCTTGTTTATCTCAATTGCTTAAATGTCCATATTTTATTCTTGAGCATATCCACAGGCCATTGCCGAATTGGACCAGTCCTTCCATACATGCTTCTTATGGTGTTTGAAAAGAAATCAGAATAGTATAACTCCACCTAACCTCAATGTGAGATATGTTTTCCTGTTATGGTTGCATGTTTATATATCTGGTGAAGCTTGAACAACAATCTAGAAGTCGGGCTGCATAGGCATGTCTCAATATCTAGAATAGTGCATTAAATGTGTAATTTACTGACTGGAGGTTGAATTATTTAGTTTCTAAAGATGACATGAAACCTCACATAATGGATAGCAATTATAAAGTCATTGCATTGATCAAAGCTGAAAATCACTTTCAGCAGAGAACAGAATGGAAAGAGCCAGAAGAAACTAAGCTGACCTCAAGCTACTCCAAAATTTTGAAGCCTGTCACAGTGAGGTGTTGGGTAGTTCCTGTTCCATTGTCGCCTCTGGAGTTCTATATCACAGTAACGTTCAAGCCTATTTTTGTAATCTTTAATAACATGGTCTTCAACTTTCTCTCGAGCAGGACTACCAAGAGGATAATTCTTATCAAATTCTGCCGATTTAACGAAAAATTCTACCCCATATTTATCTGTCACCTTCTCAAACTGATAAGAGTAGTTTTTATGCAAAGAATATTCAGGCTCCGAGAAAGGAAGATAAGCAAGTAAGAAAATGATCAAAAATGGTAACAATTGAAGGAGGAGAATTAAGTTAGGCCCAGAGGAACCTAAATCCTCTCTCGGCTGACGGACATTGGTCCTTGTCCTGTAGACATAAGCTGTCCTAAACATTTCACGCTGACCAAAAAATGCCCTTATAATCTCTTCATCATCAAAATCATCTTCAATATATTCATGCTCCATTCTCCTCCGACGTCTAAGATTATACAGCTGATGAAACTCAAATTCTTCAACCAAACCCGTCTCATCATACCGGCTCCTTGAATCATCATCACTCAAACACTTAAAGGCCTTGGATACTTTCTTAAATGCCTCTTCAGAACCCGGAGCCTTGTTTTTGTCCGGATGAACTTTCAGCGAAAGCTTCCGATATGCCTTTCTTATCTCTTCAACTGAACAACCCTTCTCTAGACCAAGAATTGCATAATAGTCCTTCTTGATCTTAATATGTGTAACCAAATGCACGTGTTCTTCAGTATAACTCCTCTCCCCATCAGAAACCTCATCTGATTCGACACGACCATCAACATGTTTCTCACTCGAAACATCGCCAACTTCACCAGGGTGATCAGGAGTTGAGGCATCAAGATTTTCACAAGCAGCCAAAAGATCTTTGACATCTAGTTCACTATTAAGGCGGCATGCAATACCAATAAATTTAAGCGCTCTCTGCTTATTGCCCGACACAATTGCCTCCGCTACAATTCATGATGCCATGGACAAACACCAATCCAGGCTCTTGTTTCGCAATTCAATTTCACCTGATCACCAAAATAGCCAACCAATCACTCATCATAAAGTATACAGATAGATAAACGAGGCGCTTTTACACATATTGGTTGTCAACATCATAATAAGAAAAACATTTAGAGGAGAAACTTATATTACCATTTGTTGCTAGCATTTGGAAGCCACATTATTATTATCAAGGATAATTTTAAACATTAAATAACCCAAAACTATAGAACAGAGAGGCCACTACCTTGTTTAAAAATTGAAGCTTGATGAGTGACCAACACCGGTCTGGGTTTACAATCACCAAGATAGTCAACCAATCAGTCAAAATTCTAATAGTGACGTAAATGATGTACTTTTATGCATATTACTCGCGAACAATATCAAAAGATTACCAAAAAAAATCATTTTGAGGATATATTATAATTAGCTCTGAATTGCCTTGCATTGTATGCTGAATTATATTCAGCAGATAACTTCATCGCAAAGAAAACCAATCATTAAAGAACAAATACCCTCTGTTTTTGTTTTACAATTCAATTTCACCTGATTACGAAAAACGAAATAAAAAACAAACAAAAAGAAAATTCAGAAATTACATGACACTAACACGTAAAGAAGCAATTATACGCATATTATTCAGCAATTTTACGTGAAAAGCAATTTGAGGAGATATTGGGATCATTGATTTGAATTTCCTATTATTGTAAGGAGTAAATCAACCGAATTTCAACAGAATTTTGGTGCAAAAAAAAAAAAAGAATCAACAGAATTTCAAACATAAAAACAAACCAAAAAGTTATTAAAACTAAGAGAGCTTTAACTTAGTTTGGAACCTGAGCAATGGCAGAGCGAGCGCGAGAAAAGGAGAGAAATGGTCGTGTTGACGAAGAAATGGAGTCTGAGATTCTGAATAAAGCAAAGATCCGTACCATATATATGGTGGTGGTACAAATCTGCGTTCACTGTAGCAACAACTCTTAACGTGCCACATAACCGAGTACAAATTGGACTAAAAATTGCATGGGGCGCCCTATTTATTAAAAGACTACTTTCTCTCCAAGTATACGTCAGTCTACTGTCTCTGTCTCTCTCTCCCGTTCTTCGCGTTTTTGATTTGTTCTTCTTTGAAATCAAACGGGTTTCGTCATTCTTCTTGATTTTCAACTGTTTATTCCCTATAATATTACGTATAATCACAGGTACATTGCATTAACTTTTTGGGTTTTATTTTAATATTATTTTTACGATTTAATTTCTGATTTTTTTTGTTGATAGTCATGTTAGTTGAATCGTTTCCCTTTTTTTATTTATGATAAAATAGTTTCCTAGGGTATACTTTGATTAGTGCATTAGTTTTCTAGGTTTTACTTTTACGATTGTGTTTTAGGTTTTTTGAACGTGTGTTTGTGATTTTGATGAAAATTCTATAAATTCTTCAGTGACTTTTGGAGACTTCGAAATTTTTAAAAATTTTGAGAGTTAAATAGATGGTGCTATTAAAGTGTGAAGTTTATAATACTTCAAGGATACCTTAATTTTAGGAGCTGAAGTTTTGTTTTGTGTTTTGTGCTTTTGTTATATTTTTTATGAACTTCAGCATTATTTGGAATTGAATTTGTGTTCTGTTTTTATAAAAACTACAGCATGTTTTTGCTAAAGATTTTGTTTTGTAACTGGTGAACTTCAGCATTCTAGGAGCTGACGTTTTATTTTGTATTTGCTGAACTTCAGCATTTAGGAGCTGAAGTTTTTGTTTTATATTTGTTGAACTTCAGCCTTCTTAGAGCTGAAGTTTTAACTAATTTTTTGATAATGTGTTGACGTTATTTTTCCCATCTTTTACTTTTTTTTTAACAGATGGCATCTACGAAATCCAAATCACCTACAAATCGTAAAGCACCTAAAGATCCTAAAGCACCTAAACAACGTAGAATATGCAAAGGTCTTTCAGTCCCTGTTGCTCTACCTACAAAACCAGGGGAGAGACATTATGAGTTTCGAGATTGGTTTAACTGTCGTGCTTACTAGAAGGGGAACCACGATTTGAAGAGTTTAATTGCAATTTTCTTGACTCCTGCACAACATGATAAGCTGAATACTAGTACATTTCGGTATATTATGGCTATGGAGAATTTCAAATGCAGCATGAAGTTAGTTCATTGTTTAAATCTTTCTCGAATATTCACCAATGAGCGAGACTCCATTAGTTTCAAGATTTTTGGCCATGATGTGTCGTTCACCCTTGAAGACTTTCGCATTATGTGCGGTTTGAGGATCACAGCACATAATGTTGAAAAACCAAGTAAACGAGAGAGCAAGATTCTGAAGCGCTATTTTCGGAAGTCTAAGAGTGTGACCTTGAAGGACATTTGAGATTTTATGTCCCGGAATGAAACTCAAAAGGATGATGTGAATTTCAAACACATATGCGAGAGTGATGAAGATGCTGTGAAGCTTATCGAAATTCTTGTTGTGGAGTCTGTTTTGTTTGGAAAAAAGAATGAATCAACTCTGCTGGAGGAGTATGCAGCTATTGTTGAAGATGATAAGGCTTGTGCTGATTATCCTTGGGGTAATGCGTCTTATGAGAAGCTCATTACCTCAATGAAACATGCATTGGACAACCAAGACAAATTAATTCAACTGAGTATACTGTTGGTGGATTTCCATTTCCAGTATGTGTTTGGTTCTATGAGTGCTTCCCAGATATTCGGGAGAAGTATTTAAAAGAGGACGACTTCCTTGATGTCCCTCAGGTTCCTAGGATGTTACGTTATGTATCTTTGGGAGAGCCTAGATATAATGAACTTCATGCGGATTACTTCAGTAATCATGGTGTAAGTTAATATTTTATTTTTTATTTTTGTAGTTGTGTTAATATGTTAACGTATTAGTTTTATTTTATTTTCATAATATACTTTTTTGTATTAAACAGAAATATCGGCCATTTAGGATATTGGATATAATTCCTACTGAAGAGGAATTGAATTCAATGCCTTTAATTGGACAATTACCATGCAGCCAGATTCATTCAAAGGTACTTAATGCGGTTCCTTCAACTGGTGAATCACCACGTAGTCGGAGTCGATCAAAAGAAGCCAATCAAACTCCTGTAATTTGCAAATTACCTCGTACCCAAAGTCGTTCTAACCGTTTACAACGACATTTGACAATGAATTAGTCAACACAATATGTTGTGTAAGTTTTGAGCTGAAGTTTTTGTTTTTGTGTTTTGTAAAACTACAGCATGTTTTAGCTGAAGTTTTTGTTTTGTTTGTGATGAACTTCAGCATTCTAGTAGTTGAAGTTGTGTTTTGTATTTGCTGAACTTCAGCATATTTTAGTTAAAGTTTTTGTTCTGTATTTGCTGAACTTCAGCATGTTTTAGCTGAAGTGTTTGTTCTGTTCGTGAATAAAGTATTCTAGTAGTTGCGTTGTGTTCTGTATTTGCTGAACTTCAGCATGTTTTAGCTGTAGTTTTATTCTGTTCGTGAATAACTTCAGCATTCTAGTAGTTGAAGTTGTGTTCTGTATTTGCTGAACTTTAGCATTCTTTAGACCTGAAGTTTTGTTTTGTGTCTCTATATTAGAGCGTAATGACGGAAGTTAAAAGCCATGCAGAAGAAGAAAGACGCATGATCGCGAAAGAAGTTGTTGAGCAGTTTCAACGGGATGAGGGATCTGCTATTGTGGATGCGGTTTTGATAAAAGTCAAGGTAAGCTAATTTATAGAGAAGTATTTTTTTTTCTGCTAATGTATTCAGATTAATCATTGTTAGTAATTTTTTTCTAGGAATATTTTGATGAGAAGTTTGAAAAGTTATTTAAGATTGTCGACAAATCAAATGGAATGGACGATGGCGATTTTGATTTGATGAAGTGTCAATAATATGATAGGATGAATGACTCGTTCGAACATCTATCGGATATTTTTTCTGCTCATGATGTACTGCATAAAGTCGCAGATGAAAATGTAACACGTGAGGAAACGGCTCTTGAAGGTGATCAACATGTTGAACAACAAGTTGAAGAGGAACGTTCCAGTGTTGATAGACTGAGCAAAGATGGAAATGATGAAAATTTATCAACCGAGAATATAGGAAGCAAGAAAGGTGTAGATGATGAAGTTGTCGATACTAAAGAACATGCACCGAGTTGTGCTTTGGGCAGTGATATTGCAAAAGGCAATTTGTTTGGCGATGGAGATCATGAACCTGTTGGTACTGAAGAACTGACATCGAGTGATGTGTGTACCACTATTGGGAAATGCGATCGCTTTGCGGACGCAACAGCTATTTGGCAAGAAATTTAAGGTGTAGAGACACAGAAAATATGCACTATAGGTATACATATTTTCTATGTTTTATATATATATATATATATATATATATATATATATACACACACACATCCCCCCTCTNTGAAAATAGTTGTGCTTCATTTGATACAACTAAAAAACTCTCTGATGATGCTGAATTGAATGAAGATAGAGTTGAGAAAATCCTTCCAGAGAATACTCCAATGCTCCTCGACGTTGCTGCACAATTGAATGAAGCTGGTGCTGTTGATATCGACAAAGGCATGCAGCTTGGCGAAACCACAGTGGAAGACAAACGTCAAGGTATTCTATAGATCACGATTTTATTACATTTGATCCAAGTATATATTTTCAGTTTGAAATTTCACATACTTTATTTTCTTTTTTATGCTTTTTGATGATTATTTAGAAAGACTCAATGCAGCTGAAAAAGAAATTGGTGAGCTCATTCGGCTATATGAAAAAGGAGAAATACATCTATTCACATTTGTTGGCTCACAGACAGGTGTGAAGTGTGTTTATATTATTTTTAAAATTTAGTTAGTATTATTTAGTATATTTTTTTTTTGCATGAAGATATAGGCGTATCTGAAGGTAATGGAAGTGGATCCGTTGGAATGCAAATACCATCTGTGTCGCAACACTTAGA